TCCCTGTAGTGCTTCATTCCTGATGAGGCATGACCGAGGGGGCCGCAACTTCTGCCAATCGGTGTACAGATTTCAATCCAGTCATTTTCCAGTCACTATCCAGTCATCCAGTCACCCAATCCCCAATCATCAACCAGTCGGATATTTTTGTCATAACTTGAAAGACAGAGGAGTATTTATTGTACTCTTGATATTATGTCACCAGTACATCTTATAGCAATTCAAATTAATTGGAGGATAAAATTAGCAGCAGACAATACTTTTTCACAAAAATTACAATAACATAAATTGTTTTAGGTGAAGGTCATCACTTTTCATCTCCGTAACTTTCTTAAAATATTGGAGTTTGTGTTTTTACAGTTCATTCTCTGAACTAGGTAGTTGAAGCGAGAAAGGTATAACAATAGAAACTAAATCAAGTTGTCATCACATAGGCTTTTACTCATATTATCTAATTTGGTGGTTAATTATTGATTGCCTGAAAGAAGCGCTTTCTGGGATTCGGTATGGGACTCGCTTTCCTCAAATCAAAAATATCTGCCGCAGCTTCTTGATATGTTTTAATGTTAAACTCAAACCTAATTTTAATAACCAGAAAGGAATTTTGCATGATGTCGAAGGTCTCTAAACTGAATTGTATACATATTTCTTCAAAAAGTTCTATTGCGGTTTGGAATGGAATGGAACAAAGTGGGGTCGTTGGGGTTTTAACACCATTTGTTCTCTTAGTTTCCTTGATACTAAACCCAAGAGCCATCTCCCATGCAACTTAAGAGAGTTTCTTGAGAGAAAGTTTGGAAAACCGTTCCAAATGGTTCAAAATGAACAATTTTTCTAACTCTTCCAAAATTCACCAGAAAAATAAAATAAAAAATAGGGATGGTTTTTGGACCAATACTAATCAATCAATAATATTTTGGTCAAAATCGAAGGGAGTCGAGTAAAGCCTTTTGATTCAGGCTTGATATGCGGAGACGCTTCACGTAGAAATTCAAAGTTTTCATCGTGCTTTACTTATCAAGAGAGCATAAAATACGTGGTCATCGAGCGTTTGTCCACAAGAACAAGTCTAAATTGGCCTGAAAGTAGCAGTGGTAGTTTTGAGAATGGTCTGTGAAGGAGTAATAGGCAACTCATCTTACTCCGGTGTGTGGCAATTTCACCAATCATACAGCCTTCCAGTCATTTTCCAGTCACCCAATCACAATCCAGTCAATTTCCAGTCAACCAATCATGTTCCAATCATATTACAATCTCTCCAGTCAACCAGTCATTTTCCCAATCAGCCAATCCCTATCCAATCATCTCCAGTCACATCCAGTCATTTGATTGGCAATCGGTGTACACATTTTTGGAGAGTTGCGGCCCCCTCGGGCATGACGGACTAGAGCGGCAGCAGTGAGCAGGGCGCTAGGGGTGCAGTCGGGCAGGCCTAAAGGCAGGCCGACCGGCTGCCTTATGCATGCGAGACGCAAAGAGGAAGGGACAGTGAGGCAGGCCAGCCCGCCGCCCCGTCCCGCGTCCGCGCCGATCTGGTCCATTCCCTGCCGATTCCCGGCACGGCCCGCTCAGTATGCAGAGCGCGCAAAGCCAGCGGCCGTGCTCCTGTTGCTCGGTACGGACTGCATGGCCGGACAATCTGTCTTTGCACTGCGCCTGCTCC